GAAACAACTTTTGTTGCGAAAAATTATTACACACTAAACTAAGCATACTTTCTAAATCTTTTCATTCTCATTTTTAAAAGCAAAAATTATTCCTTACACAAAGCTTTGTCAAATTTAAAATATTTAATAAATTAATTTGTTCAGGATTTCAGGTGACTTTTTTCTCAGTGGCTTTTAAACAAGTTCTTTATAGTGACAGTGACGTAGTCTAAATGGAATAAGAAATTTCGGAGATACTTCAGGAAAGATGTGAACTTTTCTCAAACATAATTCAAGTATTTGGGGCTGCCGTGCTTAGCTGCATTTAAAGGTATCCCCTTTGGGCGGACGTCCATGCCCAGACGATGTCGTCGGCAGTGTCGTTTGAAGGTTTAGGCGAAAGCCAAGCCCAAGTCCCTTAAACTGTCCCCCTTTCGGCAGGGGCGCGCGTCTAATGGAACAGTTGAAAACGCTTGCCAGATTATTGAGCGATTCCGGGTCAAGCTCCTGGCTTAGGCAATGCAACTATTTGTTTAGCCCGCAGTTAAGTTCTGCCATTCCCGTTGCCATTTCCATTTCCATTGCGATTTCATCGGAATTGGCACAGACGGCTGGCTCTGACTTGCAGTTGATTGAGTTCGTGTTATTATTGATTTGATTCGGCTATCGCCAATTGGCAGTTCCGCTGCCAGTGAATACATCATCATCACGATAATCATCGGGCTGTCGCCTCACAGCTCGCAGCTCGCTGAACATGGCTGATAGTTCGCTTGGAGTCTAATAAATTTCGAACAGGTGTTTGTATATCCCAGCCAGCCAGCTCGACTCCCTCCTCGCATAAATCAAAATGGGTTTTTAAACAACGCGACTGGTCGGGGATTAGACGGCCTTTCCCATCCGCAGCCCAGGTTGTGTCTCATGTGTTTGCGAGCTGGAGCCACCGCAAATATTTTTGAAGCGATGTGGCAAGGACGAGGACATCCATTTCGGTGACGGCGATGATGATGATGATGACGATGATGGAGGAGGCGTGGCGCATAAAACTTGTTGAATTATTCGGTGCCGGGACATGGACGTGGCTTTCGGAATTCTTTGGCTGCCTGCGTCTCAGCCGAAAACGGAATTTTTTATTATTATTGCAAATTAAAAAAGTTTACATTGGCTTAACTATGCGAGCGCCGAGACCAGCTCAACTATGTAAAAGCCAAGTTTCAGCCGAGAATTACTGGAGTCTCTGGGCCAGGATGGCCGAGGGATGGAGAAACGATTTGCAAAGTATTCTCAACAATTTCTGCCGCAGGCGCAACAAAAAACGGTAGTCCCGAAAAACCCATCATAGGCAACCAGTCTCACCTGACTACCTTCAATTCAGTTGCCCCCAAAACCTCCCGGAAAACCTCCCAAACCTCCGAAACCACCCATCCCCATGCCCTTTCCCACCTCTGTCCCCCGTTGCCGCTCAACGAAGCGTATTAGCAAATTAAATTCCATTTTCGCAGGTGGGCGTCTGCCTGTGATTATGAGCTGAGGACTTGCAGCCATCAAATTTAATGCACAGGCAACTAACCCGGCTTCCACGGTGTCAGTGTGAGGGTGTGGTCTGTGGTCAGCCAGGCGTACAGTGCGCTCCATAAGTGAGAGCCCTAGCCCCCGCTTAAAAATTAAATGCTGGCACAGGTCCGAGGTTTGTTTATTTATTTCTGCCAACTCATTAGGAAAATTGCCCAGCCCAATCGTATAGCGCTTTAAACAAGAACCCTCAATTGCGAATTAAAACTGCTTGAAAATTATTTGAGTCCCAACGTCTGAGTTCCAATTAGAGTTATCTTTAATTGGAAATTTTAAAAATTGAAATACCTCTTATTCCTATATAAAAAATTTAATTTGAAATTTATTTTTATACTCAACCTGCAAGTTTGATTTGTGGATTTAAAAAACTTTTTTTTTCTGTGGATTCACCATTTCTGGAATCATATATTTCTTCTTATCTATAAGAAAACACATTCAAAGATTAAATGCGGGCCTTGGGACAAGGTGAAAAAGCAACATATATGTCGAAGATTAAGGTTTTCTTTAAACTTATTTAATGTTCTGATTTTTTTTATGGTAATGAAACTTTTAAACTTTTTGTATACATTGATCTAATCATTCTTGTAGTGCTTAAGGAGTAAGAAAGATCAAAACTTGTTGACTTTTCAGATATTGGCAAATATTTTGTTGTTAATTTTTTATATTTTCTATTCGTGAAATCTGCAATGGTATTAAAACTTCGAAGCTGGCCAAAATTAGCTTCCGTTCTGGTTTTTTATACATATGCGTTTTCAATCACAAATACGTTTTAAAGGGACTTTAAATTAAAGGCAGGAAAAGGTCAGGGTTTTATTTATTTATTTCTGCCAACTCATTAGAAAAATTGACATATCCCAAACGCAAAAGGAAAAATGCCGAATGGCGAAAATAAAAGGAAAGCACGCGCCGGCAGCCCGAAAGGAAACTCAGATTTTCCGGGCCGCCTTTCGCTTATTGATGGAGCGACTCGGGGAATTGATTAAAAGGCATTGTCAGGGATGTGGGCTTAAGCCACGTCGCTGCACAATACACACACGTACTCTGAGACGGACTCGCTCATATATATCCGAGTGTGTATGCATATGGTATAAGAACATACATATATGCAGCGGGGCTTTGATCTATCCACGCCCGAACAAAAACCAGGGCCGGGCCAGGAACTTGTCTAACAATTTGACGCCTTAATCCGTCCCTCCAATGTTGGATGGCTGGAGGGTTGAAGGGGAAAAAACTCAAACAGCTCCTTGTCTACGCTTCAGTTGGCCAAGCGCAAACTGAGATTCATTCGAACTGGCATGAATATCCCTCCGCACGTGTGTGCGAGTGTATCTGTGAGCTGGGCTGCCTTTATGTGTCCTTTTCTGGTGTCGTATTATGGTAATTCGCATCGAGGCCGATTACAAGCAACATGTGAAAAGAGGAAGAAGGACTTTCCCCTTAAAACCGATCCATTGCAGCTCCTCTTTCGTTTCTGACAAGCTGAATAAATAACGAACGGTAATGCAAAATGATATAATATTTATGCTAAGCAAGAAAGAAGTTCGATATATTTTTTCTATCTTTATTTAAAACGCTTTTAATAATTTTTACGAATTTTAAGATCAGTTAGTAATAATGTCTTTATAAATTAAGCCTTAATAATTCTAGAAATGATGTGTTTCGCCTATTAGTGATTTTAAAACGTAATAAAACAGAGCTTTAATTTGTAGCAAATCTTCAAAGCCCGGATTAATTGAGAATCTTTAAAAACGAGACCAAGAAATAATGCTGCCGACTGCCAAAAAGCGGAGCCACTTGGAAAAACTAGCAGACGAATGAGAGCAATTGTGGCCCAAGGACCTGCTTTGTGTGTGCGTCGACAAACAACGCCGTAGAACCGCCAGCTGGGGCTGACCAGAGGAGGAAGAGGACTCCTCTCTTCCGAGGAATCCCATTAAATTAAATTGCATTTCGCTCGAGTCGGAACGGATCGGGTCGCCTTTGAGCGAGCATCTGCCTTATTTGCGTGTGCTGATTTGCCACCTGGGACTTGGAAGTCGCCGGCTGGCTTGGCCATAATTCAATAGTGCATCGTACCAATGCAGCTGCAATTTCATTTGCCTGGCCCACATGAACTGTCGCTGACTCGATTTGAAGCCCCTCCACCAGTTAATCAATTGATTTTACCTTCGGCAACTTGTCACAACCTGTTGAACAGACGCGTCGCCAGGCAACGCTGGATGTGGATGTGGATGTGGATGCCTCGCCAATTGCCGCATCTAATTCAATATGCATTGATTCTATTGCCGATGCCTTGGTCTTATTGCATTGACTGTTCAATGATTTTTCACGTTCGATTTACGAGAGAAAAAGTAGAGGCCACTTCAGGGAGTAAAAATCAAGTTTTTCAACTCGGCAAGCAAATTTATTTTTATTTCCCAAGCCCTAATTAGTTTTTCTACATTAAATTTCCAATTGTTGTGGCGACTTAATCAATTTTGATTGTCAAGCACCAACTAATCCCCGGCACTTACGACCCAAACATAGATATTAATGGTCTTTCTCTGTGAATCTTAATGCCGGACCATTAGAGACGATTACTATGCCCTTGTTGTTTTTGTTCTGTTTGTGGCTGCGGATGGGCGGCGCCCAGCGGCGAGTGTGTGGTCAGTTTTTGTGGCCTGGCGTTTTACAGGAAATCAATGGACCGCCCAAAGGGGAGTCGAATTTTATTAGCGCAAAATGATTTCATGTGCCAAATATTTGGCAAAATTGACGCCAACGATGGCCGAGCTGTCCCAAATGGCGTTGCTAATGGCCGACATTAACGGGGCGTATGCGCAATCTGCGTTGTCATGCAGGACACGCGTCGCCACTGGAGTTGGCTTTAAGTGCACTTTGCCCTCAATCCGGCCAGTGTGCGATTGTGTGCCTGTGCATGCAGTTAATGTCCGCTTATCGATGGGCTACAATGGCGATTACCCAGCCGAGTTCGACCTATCTTTTCGGTGGAGTCCCAATGAATAAATCCTACATGCGATTCTTGTTTTTATGTATTTATAGGCTTTTATATTTATATACAAACTTGATTCATTTCTTTTAAAATTGACTAATACTTACATTATACATTTTATTTTTAAACATACACTTAATTCCGAAATATTTTATAAAGTACGCAAATTACAAAATACATATTGCAGTTATCTTATCTCAAATTTAACCTAAGATCTAGATCTATCAAAAAGCCTACGAAAAGCCTAATCGATCGGTAAATTAATCTTTTCACATGACAATGTTAACGAGCTTCAGCCAAGACAAAACTCTTGCGATTACTGGCATCCACTAGTGCTTGACATCTCGTTCAACTTGACTTAGTATCGATCCTTTCCCGTAGTCATTAATGCCCATTAGAAGAATGGATTACTGGACCAGTCCCAGGAAGGAATTTCCGATCGTCATATATAACAGCAAAAATCCGTACAGCTTGATGTTGTCCAGATCTGCTCTCCACTTCATTTACCTGTCTGCTAGTTCACAAACAATATTCATATTTGCTACATCCAATTTGAATACTTGCACATTTTTCTCTGGGTGTAGTTCTCAAAATACACAAAACCTAAATTTAGTTTTAAAAATCCAAAGGAAAATTAACTGGGATTTCTAGCAAGGTGCTTGATATGAAGACCTTGCGTTGTTAGGAGAGAAATGCTCGCTTACCATTGCCATTGTAGATCTTGTTGCACTTGCCGTCTCAGAGCAAACAATAAATTTAGAAGCAAAATTTAAAACCGAATTTGGAACCGATTACCAAGAAAATTAAATTTAAAAAAGCCAAAAAAAGAGGAAGGGAGAAGTTCAACAGTCGAAAGTAAACTTCAAGTGAAACATAAAGTATATTACTTTCGAGCATTGGTTCTCCAGCAGCTTACGGCTATCGGCATCGATGTATAGCTCTATTAGCTCATTCTCACAGCATCCTGTGACCGTGTCGTATTCATCGCAGCAGGGATCGAGAGGGGTCCGACCGGTGACTGTCCACTTTGCCGTGCTCAAGCCAACATTCTGGGCTTCCATCAGCTCGAACATGGCACACAGCGGCTTTCTCTCCTCGACTATGGGATTTATAAAGGTGCAGTACTCTAGCTTAAAGAAGTCAATGAAGGTGTGCCCGGTGTGCGGCGGGCACACACTTTCAACTGCACCTAATACCCATTCCGCCGTTTTCTCGTTCCTCGTGATCAACAGCAAGTATTGATCGAACCTGGCCAGGGCGGTGCACTTTGAGAACTTCAGGTGTCGAGTCACGCACCTTTCGGACAGTTCAGAAATGTGATTCATTACCGCGAGGGAGTCGGTCTCGGCGCAACAATCGGCATTGGAGATGACGACGCCATAGCGGCGGTTCTCCGGCAAAGTGCGGGCATATGGCGGTCTCGTATCCGGCTTACCGCACTTGTGCCAGGCACAGCAGTCGCGCCGCTCAACCGTGCACCTCCGGTCGGACCCACTGCTGCCATCACTCTCCGCGTCGTCCACTTCCATGGCTTCCACCTGATCGCTATCCTCGTCCGCAGTGGAGTGAGCCTCGCTCGCTGAGCTCCCGGCTAAATTTCGGACCTCAAATCCAAAGCCCGAAGGCATCAAGTGAGCTTGGTCAAGGCCTGCAAGGGCTGGCGAAACCCGTGCCACACTATCTCGGAACGAATCGGAACTGGGGGACGAGAAGCCAGGGGACGGCGCTCGAAGAACAAGCAAAGCCTCGGCTGGTAGGGTTAGCAACCCCCTCCTATCGCATTCGCCGTGTTCATAGAACCTCAGCGAAGCTACTGCTTGCTCACCTGCAACGACAGTTAGTTCACAGTTGAGACTTCCTGCTGTTTCCTGGACATCTTTCCTCCGCAAGATATCCGAAAGGTGAACGCTGCGTTCCAGAGTTTGGTTGATCGAGCGTATCTGGAATACACTGGTCGGTAGGGCCACCAAGGGCTCCAAGTTTTCCATTAGCTTTTGGACCGTTGAACTGTCTTCCATCTCAAAAACGGCTGGACCCTGATTAAAATCAAAATATCAGTTGCTTAAAAAATCACGTTATATAAATGATACAAAATTATAAAGATTGTTGTTTACTGCTTGAAAACTTGTTTTGTAAGTGCGTACTTCTCCCCTTTTACTCATCGAGTAACTGGTAGAAAAACTCACCTCAATAGGATTGCGTTGTCGGAATTTAACTTCGATATACATTTTGAAAGTATAACTACAAAATTTGGAATATTTTCAACACTAGATAAAATACTTGTTCACTGCTAGCAAGCTTGAGATATACTGAACCTTATCAAGTACAGCTCACCTAAGTTCGGCTTGACATTAGACCAAAGCACATGTGATCTGAAATTTAATTTTATCAATAAGCGAAATATTTAGAAGTAACCACTTGAAAATTACCATATATTTTAATTATTTGTAGGTATTTGGTACAACAGTGACCACCGCGATTGGGTACGCGTTGCCGGACGATAGTACCCATTGTACCCTGTGAAAGGGTTGAGACCATCATCGCTGCGCAAATCATCCTCCGCCAGCAGCAGCAGCATCAACAACGCCTGTCCCCCGCCGCCACCCACGCCGCACCAAGTGAACCCCGCCAGCAGCAGCAGCAGCACTCCGCCCCACTCCCAGCATCCGCAAACGCATCCGCATACGCATCCGCATACGCATCCGCACCATCACCCGCAGTACCAAAACCATCAGCACAGGCGCAGCAGCACCACCAGTCACACCAGCCACGCGGAAAACTCGAGCGGTTTGGCCACGAAACCGGCCATCAATTTGCTCGGCAATCACCTACAGGCCAACTACTTTGAGTTCCCGCCCACTGTTCCCGGGCAGGCGTTGTTGCACCACAGCGGTCGCACCGCAGTCTCCACGCCCTCGCTGAACTTGCAGCACCAACAGCAGCAGCATCCCGGCTCCTCGTCCACAGCTGGTGGTCAGTATAGTTCGGCAGTTGCAAAAGCGGCTGCCTCCACCGCCTGTGCGCTCCTTGCCACGTGCCACGTGTCCAGAGATTCCGATTGCGACTCACCCCGACATCAGAAGCATCAGATACACCAGCATCCAAACCCGGAGGACCAGCAGCCGACCGCAAACAAAATGGGTCGTCGCGAGATAAAGCGCTCCAATACCAGTGGCTCCACCACCAGATCCTACGACAGCGGAAGCGGTGAGTAGGCCATACACTGCGAGAATTTTCGTAGTTACAATTAGTTCGGAGGGGATTGAAGATGGTAAAGAATTAGGGCTCTTGAATATTACTGAATATAATAAAGGCTTTTACTCATGCATCTTAATGAATTTGTGATTCTATAAATTCCATAAAATAAATAAATTATTACATTTTTTAAATCTAGTAAACAAACAGGAGTTTGACCATTTTTGTGCTAAAAAATTTTAATCATTTCACGTAAATTCTGTGTCAATATCATGAGCAATATCTTTTATTTTAAAAGACAAAGTTTTGTGTATTTAATGGCATTTAATTCCCGAAAATGGTAAACCCTTCACATCCAAGTGGAGTGGATCTCCCACTAGAAAATACTTAATGAACAACGGCGGACACAGATCCATTCAGCTGAACACAATTCGAAAAAGGGGCAGTGGGCGGGGCACTGCGTAATCGCCTTATGTCCTGTGATTGGGCTCCACGAATACCATGGGAAATGGCATTAGGCTGGCAAATTAACTCAGCGGAGATTTGTTGTCAAGCTGTCGCTGTCCTGCTTAGGACTGTTTCCTGGGACTTCTTCTTCTCGAAAGGTGTTGGGCTGAAGGACTACAGTGCGCAGGCAACAGAAGTAAATTAGGAAAGGAGAACCACTTCAATCAATGGATCGGAAATTAGTTCCATCGGTGCAGGGAAATCAATTGGTAATTCGTTGGTTATTAATTCATTATTATTATTCGGAATTCAGTAAATTTTATTTGCAATTAAAGTCTTACTAATTGAATAATGAATTTCAATTGGACGAAACAATTTTACAGAAAAAGTGCTCGTCGCAGAAATTAAAATATATTTAAAGCTTCAACTGGTTTAAGTGGAACTAACCTTGCGCTGCCTAATTCCAATTATTTCTAATTAAAGTGATCATAAGAAAACACCGAGTATTGTTAGTTTGGAAACAGAAACATCTTTATTAATTAGGGCCAGCCCCACTGGCAAAGCCGACTAGAAATGATATGATTATGTAGGTAAGAATCGTTAGGCTGCAAATGGGGCTATCGAAACGCGAGGCTCGGGTCACAGGCAGATTTACAGAGCAAATGTGGACTTATTGGGGTTTATCCTGCGCCTCCTAGGAGCAGGTGGATATAATGGACGAGATGCTCTCGTTGCAGCCGTACTGGTGGAAGCAGTCGTACTGGGAACCAATATTTCTCTGCGAGCAGCAGACCTTCGAGGCCCGCTGGCAGTTGCTGTTCGCCTGGTAGCCGAGGTCCTCGGGAAACTGGAAGCCGTCTGCAAGGGAGGCGGAATATTTCAGAATGGCGTTCGTGGGTCTGCGGTTTCCTATCTGCAGATGCGGCGGCTTACCTGTCCTGGAGGACGGACGTCGGACAGCAGGGGGTGGTGGTCGTGCTGCGGGTTGTGCGAATCCAGGGGGCGAGAAGGCGGCTAGGGGCACGAGTTCGTCTGCAATTAAGAGGCGTCAGCATGTAAACCAGGGTGCTAAAGTGCAAGTTAGTGGGTGCCGGATTGCGTATGATTATGTTTGTGTGTGTGCACCTTCACCAATTGAGCGCCTCTGCTTGTTCACTCAATTAATAAACAACGGCCCCGAGTTTGGGCCTTAATGAACAACAGCAACTGAGGCCTCTACACAGCGAGATATTGCGTGGTACATGTAAAGCACAATTTCGGATTTGTTACCAGCAAATTAATTTCACATTTAAAGCGAATGAATCTACACATGCTTTTAATACCGATTTTTTATAATCAGTGCACTGCACTTTCTCCAAACCAATGTTATTTCTTATTAATCCCGAGAGGTTACAATTTATTTTTGAGTGCACATTTGCCAATTATGAAGGAACAACATACTTATATCCCTCAATGAGCTGCCAGGGCAATGCAGCTGCAATTGGTTTTGCAGGTGTAAATTGTGTTCTGCGCCACGTTATAGACGGCCAATTAAAAGATAGACCATCAATGGGCCTCTGGCCTCCTGGCAGTTGGTTAATTGATATGGCTGAGGGGATTGTGTAATTGCAATTGAATTGTTACAATTGTTGTGCGGATTACATATGTGGACAGTCGATTGGCAACCAATTAAACAAACGTATTCAAGTCGCAACAGTAAATGGGAGAATTTTAATTTGCTTTTTGGATGAAATGAAATCGATGCGATAATTGACAATACACAGCTGAGGCAATAAATAATAGTTGGCAACCAAACCATGTGTTAGCTGGGAAATTCTTGATTTGTGTGTCCTTCACCGGGTTATGGAAGCTTAAATAAAAAGGATAAAAACATAAATGGATGATAGGGTCGGGGGTCCCGACCGTGAGATACCCGTTACTCACAATACCATTCAAGTGGGTTTTTAAATCAGCTTAAGGCCCCATTCCCTACTTTAAAGGTTGTAACGGACGGAATATAAATATTCTTTTTAAAAGTGTTCATATTATGATTGACAAGATAGTTCAACGGACATGAGTAACGGATATAATTAACATAGTTATTCAGCAATTGCGTATTCTTCAACATCAAACTACATTTTTTCATGGGAGATTTATTAATGATACAGTTATGATTTGGAAATATTGTTATGAAAGAATTGTTAATGGTTGTTTGGCTTTTCTTCGCTAAGCGGAAACTATAGATATATATGTAGACATATATCTGTATATTTACAAAAGTTGAAACTTAATATACGCATTAAATAAGTTAAGATTGCCTTTAAGATATTTTGAGCAATTGAATGGGAAGCAGGACCGGGAAGCACCGCCTATTGGTAGGCATTCAGGACCTTGGTGAGCGCACCTTGCTTCACGCCTTCATCGGCACACGGATTGATGTCCCAAAAGGCTCCGTGGCAGCCGAACTCCTCGAAGCAGTTGTACCGCACCTTCTTGCTCTCGCTGCTGCAGCAGTTCACGATCGCCCACACACACTTGGTGACCTTGCCCTCACCGGCTGAAGAGGACTGGGTGGGCGGCCTTCGAGTGGGAGCCGGCGGCCGAGTGTTCACTATACACAAAGATGGTAATACAAAGGTCAGGTCGTGTTGAAGATAAAGCGATAGTCAGAGTGGCGGTTAGTTGGCAAAGCCCTATGTTATTCACTTTTCGAATGGGTTCTTAGCAATTTTGGTGTCATATTTATACTTTTAAAACTAACTTTAATTGCGAGGGTGAAAATAAGTTCGGGATTAATTAAGGTAAACATGGTTTCACTTACCTGGAGGAGGCCTCCTAGTGGTCGTAGTAGTGGTACTGCTATATATAGAGTAGTCGGCATCTTCTGGATTTGAGTTGTGCTCCAAGTCGAATTCACCTCTACCGTCAATGCTGGTTGGTTGCTGATCCTTACGATTAGGTGGTCCCTTCAGAGTGGCTTTCTTCCCCCCTACTTGTGTACGTCTAAAATGGATAGATATTATTATCATTGGGATCGTGTATGCTACTAAGTGTAAGTCCTTACTGAATATAGATTAGCGGTTTGACTTCTTGTGTTTTAGGTATGGGTAGGTAATATTGGTAGACGCTTTCATATCTAATATTATAAGGATTTAAGTAGGTCTGTCGTCGCTGGCGACTGTGGTACTTCTTGGGATGCTTCCCCAGCCACTCCTTCTTGGTGGGTTCCGCCAGTTCGGTGACTTCGACGGTGCTGACCGGGGGAGCTTTGAGGTCTTCCTCCAGCACGATCGGCTTGTCGGGCAGGATATCGAAAAGGATCTGCTCGCCATCGTTCTCCTGCTGCGGCTCCACACGATGGTTGTGCCTTCGCTTGTGCTTCTTGTGCTGACCAGGACTTGTCCCGTTCTTGGTGGGATCTAAGTGGAAAGTAAAATATTAAATTTTATTATTAGGGATTTGATAATCTAAACTTTTGATACAAATTAAAATAACTAGGATTTTTTATTAAATTCACAGAAATGATTAGACTTAAGTGTTAGACTAGAATCTCATTAAGTATTTTCTTGAATAATGGCGTAAACTTACCATAATCCTCGCTGACAAAATCCTCCTTGTACATGATCACTGGATGATCCTTCTGCATAACGCCATTCACGAACTTTACTGTGTGGATCTATTGAAACAGGGATTGTAAGTTGAGTATTATAAGATTGAATTTCAGCCGCACACAAACCTCCACATTGTCAGTATCCGGCGGAATGATGGCCAAGTCGCCCTCGTCCTCCGACGAAGGACGAGCGGTGGTCTGGGCCACCAGGCAGAGCAGCAGGACTAACAAAAGAGCCGGAAGTCTGCGGCTGCTGGTGCTGCCAGTGGACAGCGCCGTTCGATTCATCTCCTTCGGTTGGCTGGCGGGTCTGCAATTGGCAGCAAGCAAAGATTGTGCATTAGTTCAACTTTGTTTCTGCAGTTCAATCTCAATTATATACTTGAAAAACCCACCCTAAACCCCCCCAAAAAAAAAAACAAATAACAAATAGAACCCCCTTGAAACTCAAACACACATCAGGCAGGACAACCGCCGATGGCAAAGTTTTGAAGTTGTAAATTTTGTTGCGGTTTTGTTTTGGCTTCTGGGTTAGGGATCGGGATCAGGATCTGGCCCGGCTCGGTTTGCCCGGTCTTGGTTTTGGGGTTTGTTTTAAATTAGACATCAAGTTGAGTTCAATTTTTCTTGGCTTTTGTTGCCCGTTCTGCTCTGTGGCAAACTTTTGAATTACTTTCGTTGGCTTTCTGCTTTGCTTTTTATTCCCCATTCCATATTCTTTATTTGTTCTCGTTTTTATTTTTCTGGTCCCGGGCACGTCGAAAGCTGCCAGCCATAACCCAATGAGGTCGGGCTGAGCTGAGCGATTCCAAGCGGAAAAACTTGTTCGACACCGAAACACAATGGCCGAGCACTTTGCGATTTTAATATTCCGAAGCGCACTGTTTCGGTGCTTCTGCTGCAGCTCAAACTAACCGTCTGCTTAATCGAAATAAATTTCCCTACCCAATATTTCCGGTTGTGCTCTTACACTTTGGTCGTTCAAATCAGACTGAAACGTCTGCTTAAAATTGCTTGTCAATATAAATGAAATTTGTCCGTTGGAACAGATGTGTTCTGAGAATTTTGAAGACTCATTTACTCAGTCACAATAAGAGTGCACCTTCTTTTTAAATGGAAAACAAGATATCACCGGTGCCCTACGTCATAAATGACAAGTAAGAATAGAAATAATTTCACAACGATTTTCCTGACAGCTGTGTTATTTTTGGAATGTCGTCTATATCTTATCTATCTTATGAATGTTTTTTTAAACAGATGGAAAAAAGATAGTATTTTTTACGTTCTAGATCTTGTGACTATTATCTTTGTTTGTTTATTTCTAAGACATATGATTTTCCAAAGAATTTCTTGTCAATCCTCTTTGACTTTCTGTTATTGGTTTATGGAAACCGCATTATTTATTAACCAGAAAATGTCGCATAAAGCTGCCTTTTCCTCTGCACAATCTTCCTCCTTAACAAGACAACCAATTAGAGAAGAAAAAGCATTGCATTACCAGCCAGAGAGAAAATCTGAAACCGCAGAAAACGAGCTAACGGAAATTAGAGGGAACGAAATGTCAGTAAAAGAGGCAGATGTTAGAACATAAATCATCCAAACTCCCCATGAAACACAGAACAATCCGGATGGAAATCGAATTTTTATGTTTGGCCATATGTAATTGAAAATTCCTTCTCTGGCGAGTTATCTAATTGAATTTGCACGTAATAATTACCAAACTGTTTGCATATTTTGGCCCAACAATTTTGCGGTGATTGCTAAATTCGCATTTCGTTGCGGATCAGATGGGGAAATCCAGCACTAGGGAAAATACCAAATAAAATAAATTTGCCAAAATGCATTTCCTCCTTCCGGCTGCAGCTGTTGCCCATAAAAGTATGCTAACGGATCCACCGATGCAACTTTATATAGTCTGCATGTTCCAAAGCCACACAGGACCTTCTCGTACAGAGAAAATCCTAGGCAATCGGCTGCTGAGCCACAGCAGAAACCCTGTTTATTGAAGCTGAAAGTATTGGGTCAGGACACGACCCGCAACAACACAAGGACCTGGAGCAGCACAAAAACTCGATTCCCAAATTGTGTGAATAGCCAACGGAAATTGTAAGTTTGTTGGGGGAATAACCCTCGATTTGTTGCTACAACAACGGCAATTTGAGTGAGCCACAAGTGGCCGATGTATAAATGAGCATGGAGAACAAGCTGGCAAAAAAGGGATATAAAAACGGGATCGGCTGCATCATAAATATGAATAAACTGTGAAAATAAAGGCACAATGCTGCTAGCCAGCCCCACATGTTGCCCTGTCCTCTGGCGTTTTCCTCTTTACTGCTTATACAGTTTCCATTAAATATTCAATTTTAATATTTTGCACAGACAGTGGAAAACGAGATCCAAAAAGTGCGCTCTTAATTGGTTTTTCGGTGCGGATTCTACATTTAGTTGGGTTATTTTTCTCAAATTCAGCATTTTAACAGTGACCGCATTTTTCGAGCAATTACGACCTGTCGAATGTGTGCTGTATTTTTGAAATCTCTTTAACTCTGAGTAATCCAATTTTGGTCAGAAACTGCAAGAAATTTTAATTGGGTTTGCAGCAGGTACATAATTTTTTCCCCTGGTAAACTGAGTAACGGTGTAGCTGGCAGCTCTGCTTAATTGGATTTAGTTGATGTAATAAACAGTGGGATGAACCATCAAAATGTAGGTGACGAAGGGAAACTATGCGAACGCTTCAGCTCGCCCATAAGCCGTTTTAAATACCACGCTTTTAATTAGGCCAAATGGACATTATAATGGTGCATTATTCATAGCACCATTACTGTCCACCGACAATTTTAATAATTATATGCAAAGTCCTTGCAGTTCTCACATCAGCGCACCGACCATCTGTGGCGCCTCACAAAGCCAAATTGAATTTCAAGAGTGGCATGCTGCCACAAAAAAGATGTGGCCCAAATTCAGGCACCCACAGCCCACTTTGCACACCCCATACACGATACATCCTCCAGTTGCAGTCCACACATGCTGCCGAACGTCGATTACCACTCATTAGAAAGTTATCGGCAGCGGGGTGAATGCAATTTAGCCTACGGCCAGAAGGGCTCCAGCTGAACCCGGGCGAACTGTGACCTGGGCCGGAACCCGGAGCCGCTTACCCGTAAGTGCGGCCATTTGGTCGCAAACACTGTGGCCCCGAAAAGATGATGTGGGCACCCAAGTGTGGCACACCTCCGCCCCCTGCCGCAAACAACCTGGCAACGAGTTCAATTACACTAGGCAACAAGAAAAAGGGGCATATGTAGGACAGAATGTCTTGAAAATCGCATAATAAATATTTTAGATAAATTATAAATATTTCTTAAATCAATCCTTAAGAAATTTCGCCCTAAATTTTTTCGTAAACTTATTTAAATTGAATTTAATGAATATATTTTTTACTTTTGCTAGAGATGTTATTTAATCTGATATTTAAAGACATCCTTGGTATTTTAAATCTAAAATTAAATACAAAATTGCACTAAGCTTTCACAAGCTTAAAAAATTGGAATAAAAATATTATAATAACAAAAAAACACTTTAAGTTAATAAGAAAGTAAAGTTCCTTCCTCCAGAATAAAAAGTAATGTTTTGTGGCCCGGTGTCACTGAAGCAACATGTCCTGTGGCCACCTCCTACGGTTACTTTGCCTCTCGGACCAGTAACCGAATGGCGGGCAAAGCCATAAAGTGGCACGGAAAATCGGATTTCATTAGTTTTTTATTTATACAGTCACGGATTTAGATATCGATAGAGCTAAAGATAAGGATACACTTGAAGGGCGGTGCTGCGCAAACACCCGGAAATGTTCGATCTGGGCGAGGGCTGCTAATTGATATGGAAATTCGGTTGCCCGCGGCCCCAGGCGAGCAAACTCATCAAAGTAGGAAAACTCATTGCAGATGCGATTAAAGGCAAACACAGTGGCGTAAACATGCAGCGAGGTAAGAAGATGCTTCAATCGGAGCTGCCCTCGTGCCATATTGAATCCGCTGTTTGCTCTGACCTAAAAATACGCAATAAACCGCTTGGCTTTTTTCTTGGTACGCGTACGCTCATCATGATGTCGATTCGATGCTGCTGATGATGATCAGCGAAAAATTGTAAGTGAAATTCCCCCGGACCGAATGTGATTTTGAGAAGATTTCGTTTTAAGACTTTTTTGTGTGTACCCAGTGTTTACGTTTACGCTGGCCTTAATGGTATTTTCCTTCGGAGCATGAGAATTCGTTCATAAATTGTTTATGCCAGAGCATCAACACGTGGTGTGGCCGTTAGATGCGGTGGCCTTTGTTCCCCCTAATTGGCTTAGGAGGATGACGTGGCCACAGAGCCGAAGACAGAGTTATCCTGGCCGTTTTCCCAGCTCTATTCAAGTGTCAAAGTGTCTCACGTCGAGGCAAGTCACGTAGTTGCAGCAACAACGGAATGCAAATGCCGTCAGGTGGCCTGCACATGAAAACCAATCCAATCCTGAGAGCATACTGCATAATTCTGATGTTCCTGTCGATGCCCAATCAATGTGGGTCAGTACTGCTGGTTGGATGGGGGTTGTAATTAAGCTGCTCGGTTTTTTTGTTTTTTTTTTGCCCACAGGTTGCAACGGCCACATGGCGAATGCGTAATGCGATTTGGCCGCTCAATGGTGCGTATACGTAACATGGCCCTGGCCTGCTGTCAGCCGCCTTTTTTTGTCGCTTTCCCTTTTTTTCCCGCCACATTCTTTTTGTTTCGGCGTTTTTTGTTATTTAATGCACACAAAAACACACCATTGTTGCCGTTTTTACTTGTGTGATTTTGATCTGACTGGAAGCTTTGCCCCGCAGGCCAACGGCAGCAGGCAACTTTTCTTATTATTGTTCAAAATGAAATTTATGCGGCACGCACACTCAAACACACAAGCCCACAAAGTGGGGCATCATCATCCAGTGAGAAACAATGCAAGTGGAAAATGTTTTCTTCCATTCTTGTCAAGTTTTTGTTGCTCATTCCGGTAGGAATGGTAAAATAGAAATGGAAATGGAGGCGGCGCACAGTGCAATATGTTTCTATACAGTGTAACATTCATCCGGGGCTGAGGCGAAATGCATACAGTGATCAATTCCATCGAGAAAGGGGCAAGGCCTTCATTAGGGCTCCACCTTTGGCCCGAATCACATGGGTTGGCTGAGGTTGAGGTATCAAAACTTGGTTATCATGCCTCTCTATCTTTGAACATCCGTCAGGAGCGTCGACCCACAAAGGATGGCCAGTGCAGCGTGTATCCCA